TATACACAATACTATACTATTAAGATTCACTTTACATAAGTGAAACAACTCTTTTTTTTTTCTTCCTATTGTGAGATTATAAAATAAAAATTAACAATTATTTAGACATAAAATATCTAGAGATAAAATATAATTGAATCAAATCTCAAGAAATGTCAGTGCGATTTACCTTTTACTTTTTGTTTCAAATAGAAAATTAAGAAACCCATATATAGAAAAGTAATCGAACGGTTTGAACACCAAGAGAGTTTTTTTTTTTTATTTTTTTATTTTTCTTTTGTTACAGGAAAATTCTCCTACCCTCCCGCAGGTCCAAGGTAGCGCGCCCCATGAGGAGATCACCAGGGTGTCCTGTTGTCCGTTCCGAGTAAGAGACTATAACCTGGAAGCTTGTCCCGACCTTCCAAGGCAAGATTCGATTAAGTCAAGACTCGCACAGTAGAGGAGCATTAAATCCACACCAAGTAGCTGATTAGGCATCCTTGAGGTCCAACCTCCTAACCAACAGTGCTTCGCCTAGGAGATTGGCCCAAGGGAGGAATTGAACTTGCGATCTTGGGGCTTAAACCCCAAGGCCTTACCACAATGCCACAACCCTTTAGGTTACCAAGAGAGTTATTCACTCTATCTAATGGAAAGTTATTTAGGCTGGGTTTGGTACAGTTTGTATATCATGATTCTATACTTAAGTTCGAATGCGGCGTTTGTTTATGGTTTTTAAAATACATTTTCATACTCACATTTAAAAATTAGTGTATCCGGATGTCTCTCTGGACAATTGGCTGGTTGACCGGAACAGTGTTCTTGAATTTTTATTTTTATTTTTATATGTTAAATAAAAAATATTTTCTATTTTTAAAATTTTTTTTTATGAGTTTTGAATAGAATTTTGGATTGTATTTAGTTGTGAGTTGTAAATTTTTGTATAAAAATTATGTCACATCACTCAATTCAAAACCTCTTTTTAAAACTATTTTCAAAACTCATTCACCAAACAAATTTTCTACACTCAAATTATAATTCCAAAACTCACAAACTTAAAGTGGGTGTTTGGGAAGTGGGTTTTTTTTTGTAGGTTTTTTTAGTTGTAGGATATTATTGGAGAATTTTTTTTTTTGTGTTTGGGAAGATAGTTCGATTTTTTTGGGGTTGAATGTGATGTTTGTGAAAAAAAAAAGTGAAATGATTATGGGGTTTGATGTGAAATTTTGTTTAGATTTGTTTTTTTTTTAGTTTTGTAAAACATTTGTCTTGTAGTGAAAAAAAACAAAAAATATCCCAAAAACCAAGTTTCGAAATATCCCTAAAATACAACTCATATTCTCAAATTATATTTATAAAATTCTTCCAAACACAATCTTATTTCACGCTATTCATTGAGAGATGTTTATCCAATTATTTCTTAAAAGAAAATAAAAAAAAATATGATGAGTTTCATTATTTCAATTAATAAAAATTAAATTAAAGCAACACATCAACATATATAGGAGAAAAATAATAATAAGCAGTGTGTTTAATTTTAATTTTTTGAATTCAATTTTTTAAAAAGTAAATTTTTTTTTTCATCTTTTTTCGTTTTAATGAATATTTTTTAAATTTTAAGTAATTTTTTTATATTTTTTTAGATGCACTTTACTTAGATGTATCTAAATAATAAAATATTTGTGAAAAATATTTTAAAAAATTAATAAATATACAAAAATATGAAATTTTCGTATTTTTTTATATTTTTGATATTTAGTATATTTTTTAAAGATTTTTTCACAAATATTATACTTTTTAAGTGTATTTATGTTAAGTGTGTTAAAAAAATTTTAAAAATTATTTAAAATATTAAAAAATTCATTGAAAACATTAAAATATAAAAAATAAAATTTTTTAAAAATTATTTTTTGAAAACTGAAACCAAACAAGATGATTATTATGCAATATAATAATGTTCTACATATTCCAAACAAAGATAGTCTCACTAATTCCCTAAGGCCCCGTTTGTTTTCAGAGGTAGAATGGAGATGATTGATAATGAGAGGATTAATAGTGAGAGGATTGTTAGTGACGGGATTGATAGTGAGGGGATTAAGTAAAATTATTTTTGTTTTGATGATAGTTGTTAATGTAGGAATTATTAAATTATTTTTATATAAAATAAATATAAATAATAAAATAAATAAAAAAATACAAAAACATTAAACATTAATGTTTTTAAAAAATGCCCAAAATGTAAAAAAATTTTAAAAAATAAAAATAAAATAAAAAAATTTCAAAAACAATAAAAAAAATAAAATAATAATTTTTACTTAACAAAAAATACAAAAAATTTAACAGTAATGTTAAAAAAAAAGCCCCATATGTAAAAAATATATAAATAAATAAATTTCTAGTCCACCATACTATTTTTTAATATCAAGTTCTGGAGGCCTATTTGAATCTCATCTGCAAGGCCTATCCTAAACCCCTCGCCTTAACAATCTCTTCCTCAATTCTGTAAATAAAATAGCATATTAAATAGAATTCACAACTATCCTAATCCCAATCCCCCACCCACGCCCCAAAACAAACGGGCCTAAGGCCCCGTTTGTTTTCAGAGATAGAATGGAGGAGATTCATAGTGAGAGGATTAATAGTGAAGGGATTGTTAGTGAGAGGATTGATAGTGAGGGGATTGATAATGAGGGAATTAAAATAGTGAGAAATTGTTAAATTATTTTTATATAAAATAAAAAAATATAAAAAATTAAACATTATATTTAAAAAAAAATTCCCAATATATAAAAAATAAAAAAATTTCTAATCTCCTCACTATTTTTCTAATACTATCTCTACCTCTTCCTTACTAATCTCCCTTTCTCCTTCTTACTAATACCAAAAAATTACTAATTCTTTCCATATCTTTCAAAATAAACATCTTATTCTCAACCTTCTCCCCAGTATCAAAGTTAATTCCCTTTCTATAACCCAAACAAACCGGCCTAAAGGTGTAGATAACACACTTACCCACGATTTATAATCAAACATCAGTGCTGCGATAAGTTATGATACTGCATCGAGAAAGCTGCTTTGTGCAGTAGTGGATTTGGAAGATACTCGCTTCCACGTCTGCTGGCTGATCAAATCCATCATTTGTGAAATGACTGCTGCTTTTTTAAAAATGGCTAAATTATCTACGCCTCTTTTCAAATTTAGTTAAATTACAATTTTTTTCTAAAATTTCAAAAATTATATCTTATCCTAAAATTTATATTCGCATAATAATTTAACTTCAACGGTTAATTAAGCGTTAAGAATAATTAGTCTTCGTTTGAAAAGTAGATTAATTTTTTAGCTATTTTAACTTGAGTGAAAAAGTTTAGTTTGATATTAACTTTTTAATTTTTTGACTTTTTAAACTTTTTTTATGAGAAAAAAATGTGATGATTATAGATTGGATATGATATTTTTTTGACTAAAATCGCCTATTTTATCTTTTGTGGCTAAAATAGCCACTTTAACCCTTCCCAAACAATGCCTTAGTTAACATCACCAAAATATAAATTGATAGATGACAATACTCATACTAAAATCCCTTTGATAAATCAATAAAGTTTATAAAAGAATTACGTTAGATGAAAAAAAAAAAAAAATAGAACCATATTTGATTTGTTGTTTAGAATTTTTTTTCTGAATTTAAAAAATAATAAAAACTAATTTAATAAAAATAAATATGAAAAAATATATTTAATGGGTAAAAATTGTTTCTAACCACTCAAAAAATAAAATTATATAAAAATAATTATTATTTATTTATTATTTATTAACCAAATTAATTTTTAATTTTTTTAAAAAAATTTAAAAATAAATTTCTAAAAATCAAATCAAACATATTCTAAGAATTTTTTGACAAGTCACTTCTTGTGTTTTTAACTTATTTAATTATTTGTTAATTTTATAATATTTTCACAATCTGACACAATAACATATAAAAATTTTAGAGACATTTTTTTGATTTTTAAAAGTGAAAATTTTGTTGCAAAAGACATTTAGAAAGTAATTTCTATCGTCGTGAGGATAGTTGCTAAATGAATGCCCTGAAAAGTAAAAAATAAGACTTTTAGCGATAAAATTTCGAAAATGTCAATAATAAATTGAATTTTACGGACAAAATAATTTGGTCTAAAAAATGGTTTATGTTTTGAGACAAAAAAATTGATATAAAAAAGAAAATTAATCTCTAATGTTCAATTTTTGTTGCTTAATATATAATGACGACACTTTTCACAATAAAAATATTTGATTCCCTAAAAATAATTTTGACCTTAAATTTTGGTGTTTAAAATCCTAATTTTTTGTAGTATGATAAGTGTTTTTCTATTTTAATTTTACATTTCATAACTTGTTTAAAAATGATAATTTAGTTAAACCTTAAAGGGGTGTAGGCAATTTACCTTTATTTGTCAAAAGGGTATTTTAGTCAATTTATGATTTTCATTAACTGTAGTAATTGCAATGGATGGAATGTAATTTTTGAAACTTCAAGAGAGAATCTATAATTCCGTTAAATCTCAAGAGAGGTGCAAGTAATTTGTCCTTTTAAAATTATTTTATAGCAATTTTTTTTATTATTTTGAACCTTATTTAAGTGCAATTTTTTTTCTCATAAATAATTAATATTATTATTAAATAAATTATTTTTTTTTAACATAAAGCAAAAAAACTAGCATCATTCTATGAGAATTGGCCATCCGTCCAAATATAAGTGAATTTAAAAAGAATTTAGGTGGTGTTTGGCAAGTGGGTTGGGGCTAAAATAGCCACAAAAGACAAAACAGGCTATTTTAGCCACAACAAACAAAACATCACATCCAACCCATAATCATTACACTCTTCTCTCACAAAAAAAAAGCCAAAAAGTCAAAAAGCCAAAAAGCCCTTCCCAAACCAAGCTTTTTAGCCCAGGCTAAAATAGTCAAAAAAGCCAAAAAGCTAAAAAGTCAACCCACTTCCCAAACGGAGGCTTACTCACACTTGTTTTTATATTATCAAAATCACTTAAAAGTAAATGGAAATTGGATTGGATCAATCGGGTCCGTGAACAGTACTAACAATACTTTGGTACTTTCGTCCATGGACATTCGAGATGCCTGCATCAGTGACTTGCAGAGCGGTCATTCGTCGTCTTTTTATAAGCACACACTATGGCGGTTGCAGAGCAGTTTTACGCATTTCAATTTCATTTTTGCGGTTCACTTTCCAAATACAGAGAGAGAGAAAAGAAGAGAAAAAAAAAAAGAAAGGACCAAAAATGGGTAGGAAGCCAAAACACTGTTCCTCGTTCTTCAAGGTCTTGATCGGTGACTTTGCCAACAAACTGGTGAGTCTCTCTCTCTTCCTCTCTTCTCTCACTATGATATATATATTCATAAATGAGCTGACATTCATTAATGAAGCCCCTTCATGGTGTGCCGAATATGTGTTTGTTTCGTTGCTTCAGTTATTATAATGTTTTAGTGCATGTATTGGCAGCGAATACCGCCAGCATTTGTGGCCAAAATGGAAGGCGAACTGCCCAAAAATGCTCTGATTGAAGCTAACTCTGGGGAACAATCATGGGAAGTGAAAATCCAACAAATTGGTGATGAACACTGCTTCACGCACCGTGGTTGGGAAAAGCTCGTCAATGACAACCATTTAAGATTTGGGGATTTCGTAGTTTTCAGGCTAATTTCAGACTCGATGTTCCACATTGTCACATATGGTCCCAGTGGCTGTGAGAAGGAGCTTAACCCTTCAATTAAGAAGATCCCCCAAAACCCATTCATGTCACGTAATACCCGATCACGAAAGTCCATGGATTCACCATCTCGTTAGCTCTCTCTCTCTCTCTCCCTCTCTCCTTTTTTATGTTTTTTATTGTTTTATTATTATGGTTTTTACTTATATTTGAGTTTGAGATGCATGAGCAGATCCGTACGGTAGGCGATCGAACAGAGGAGAGGTCGAAGCAAGGGGTTGGTCAGCATCTGCCAAACCCACGCATCTCAGCTTTCTCATGGTTTTAAAGAAGTACAACAAATCTCGCTTGGTGAATTTTCCATCTTTGCCTTCTCAATCTTTTTTCCTTTGCTAAATTACACTTACATACCTCTCCTTCAGATCTAGGTTGTGTTGAGAAGATGGTAAAAAGTGATTTTTTTGGCTTTTAACCAAGTTTTTGGTTTTTTTAGATAAATGATTTGGGAAGTTGGTAAACAGTGATTTTTGACTTTTTTTATTAATATTTGTTTATGATGTCAAATCATAATAAAATGACTAAACTACTCCCATTTATTTAAAATATTTATAACTGAACCTATGTAATACATTGTGACCCATGAGGGGTAAAATTGTAATTTCACCGTTGGCTAAAAACTAACTTGCCAAATGAAAAAAAAGTCAAAAAAGTCAACTTTTAGCTTTTGCTATTAATAAAAAAAAGTGACTTTTAGCCAAGTTCCTAAAATAGCCCCTAATGAAATTGCATAAACCTCCCCCATGATTTTTAAATGACTTACACCTCTTTTGAAGTCTAATTTTCAATTATATTAACTTTTCCTTACTGGGTTTGATTGGAGATTTGATTAGGGATTTAAAAAGTAAGATAATAAAATATAAATAAAATATATTTATAATAAAATATATTTATATTTCTCTTAATTTTACATATTTTTCATTTTTTCTTTTTAAATTCCTCTTTAAATTTCTTAACCAAAACCAAATAAGAGCATCTCCAACTCAACAAGAAGAAAACAATTTTTTTTTAATACAAAGAGTGGATATATAATATCACTTTTACTCTTGCTGACCACTTTCAAAAAGGTTTTTTTTTTATACTATTTTTATAGTTGATGAAGTTAATATATATAAATTTATAGACGAGGGAGGTAGATTAATATTGTTAATAGTTTAAAGAGTAACTAAGGCCAAGTTTGGGAAGACTAGATAAGTGTATTTTTTGACTTTTTTTTGTATTATGTGTAGAAAAAGTAGAGAGAAGATGTTGATTGATGTGACTCAAAAAAGATAAAAAGATGAAATAAGTGTATTTTTTTTTTGTTAGCCAAACTTGGCCTAACCCTTTTACTTTTCCAAGAATGGTGTTCACCTCGGATTGCAATTTTTTTATTGATCGAGTTGGCTAAAACTATTGAAACCATTTTTCTCAATCAACAAATTTTAAAAAAAATTAAATGTAAAATTAAAATTAAAAAATTAGTTGCATTTGCAACTAATTCTAGTCATATCTAAAGTTTTGATTTGCATACCACACTTCTTTAAACTTGCCTCATTTTTATTTTTTTGAAAGTTTTGATTTGCATACCACACTTCTTTAAACTTGCCTCATTTTTATTTTTTTGAATTATAATATTTTTCTCTCAAACAAATTACAATTTAAGAGAGAAGAAATGACATACTTTCTTCCAAACCATAGCCACGGCTGCCGCGTCCAACTCTCCAATAATCTTCCCGCCCCAACCAACATGATGGGGTTAAGGTTAGGGTGGGTTAAAAGACGAAAATATTATAGAAATTAAGTGGTGTGAATGTTAAAAGAAAATAAAAAATGTATGTAAATTGAGTTATCATTTGGCAAAATAGACTAAATAAGTTAACAAAATAAAATGTTATATTCAAATCATAATTATGATTTTTTTTTTCATCCACAATTATTCCATTTCAACAAAAAACAAAAGAAGTCAAAACAGAATTAATTTAACCAAGTTAAATTAGTCAAAAAGTCAAGTTAAATTAGTTCTTTCTAAACGAAGCTTATATAAGGATGCGAATAGAGAAAATGTATAGGTATGGAAATAGAAGCTGTTGCTCTTGGTAAGCTCTTGAACTTTACTATTTGTTTTTTTGAATAAACCCCCAAAATTAAATTTTCATTCAAATAAATCCATGAAGTTTTTAAATTTGGTTTAATGAATGTGTTATATACTACCAATCAAAAGAGTAAGTTAATTAAGTTGACTTAAACTAATTTTAAAAGTTAGATGACTTAAAAGAAAATTAATTTTTTAATAGTTTAGCTTCTGTTTGGGAAGTGGGTTGGTTTTTTGATCTTTTTGACTATTTTAGCTTGGGATAAAAAGTTTGATTTGGGAAGGATTTTTTGGTTTTTTGACTTTTTTGGCTCTTTTTGTGAGAGAAGAGTGTAATGATTATGAGTTGGATATGATGTTTTGTTTGTTGTGGTTAAAATAGTTTATTTTGTTTTTTGTGACTATTTTAGTTACAAATCAACTTGCCAAATAACACCTAATCAAAAGATAAAAACATAAAAACGGAAGGTTTAAGAGTTTTGCCATAATTTACTCATATATAGAACACAATTGTGGGCTGAATTTTGTTGGGTCTTTCATGTATGTCGTCAGACTGTTCCAAAGGCTTTTGCAGTGGAGAGTGGAATAGGGAGGAAGAAGGTTGTGGTGCTGAAGAACAAGAAAGGGCAGCTGTGGGCGGTTGACATATGTTTAAGGCCGCCCCCTTACCGTACTGTGGATTTCACTGCTGGTTGGCCTGATTTTAGGGTAGCCAACAACATTGAAATTGGGGACACATGTTTGTTCAAGTTCATTCCAAGTTCTGGTAATGTCATTCATGTGGAGGTGCAACGTAACTACAGTTGATGACTGAACTAACTTTTTTTTTTTTTTTGGCTGGGAAATACAATGATAATACCTACTACTAAACTAATGTAAATGACTCTGCTGGGGTATGTGTTTTTTTTGGTTCCTGTTTTGGACATCTTGACTCTATGTTTTTGTAGCAAAGCTCTCTTTGTATTAGAGTATCTTCAAGTGGTGTAACTAAAATTATGTGTTAAGGTGTGTTATATGGCAAAAAATATAAACAATAATGTTGAAGTATATGTGTTAAGTACTTGTTAGTTTGAAGCGCGTGTATTTTAATAATATAGTTAAAAGTACGTTATATAAGTGTGGAGTCCGTTCAAATATATATAAATATATACATATTTATAAAATAAAATTATTATAATTATTTGGATAGGTAAAGTGATGGTAAAAAGCAACCAATGTTCAACCCATTTTGCTTGTGCTGCAGCAAAGGTACAGCCCATCCTTGCTTCTATCTTAGGCTCGCTACACAGCTCTCCGCAGTTAGCAAGATTTCTAACTAACCAACTGAAAAACCAAACAAGTTAACAAGGTTCATTGGAGATAAAAATAAATTGTTTGTTAGCTATTTGGTGATAACCATTGACACTAATGAATTCTTAATGAACACACTGGAGATGCTCTTATTAGCTCTGCTCTAAAGAGCTATTGAATGTTTTTCTTTTCTTCTTCATTTATTTGTTTGGGTAAATTAAATTCATCTTTATGAAATTTAGAGAAAATATGATTAGTCTTACACTTTTAAATTAGAGGGTTTCTTTTGAAATTTTAATTAACATAATATTTAAATACTTTTTTAATTAATAATTCATTTGTCATACAAATATTAAAAATGATATTGCCATATTTAAATAAAAGAAATTATATATGTACATTTGTATAACATATAAATTATATAAAATGTATTAATAATTGAATCGATAAGTTTGGGTTGGGCTCAAGAACTATTTCCCAACCCCGACCATTTAATAAATCGGTTAACAATTCAATCTAAACCAGTGTGATATGTTTAAATATCATTTTTAAACTCTTAAAGTATGAGTTATATTATCAACTTGTTACATAGAAATTCTAATATTATTGTTTTTTTCCACCTTCCTCCCCAAAAACATAAAAACCAAAACAAATAAACAAAAAAATCTAAAAATCTATCTTAAGTGGAGTAGTAACTTATTAGTCTAACAACTACTCCTACTATTATTATTATATTTATTATTATTATGTTCTCAGCAATTTAAAATTTATAGAGAAACATAAATCTTTAAAATAAAATATATTAAATAATCAAGTTGGGCCAGGCCAAGTTGGGCTGAAGGACTTTTGGCAAACTCAAAATCATTTAACAAATAAATTTAACAGTGCAGTCCACCTAATTTGATAAGGCTAAGGTGTGTTTGATATGTGCTAAAATAAGGGGACTTACGGGTCAGTCTTATTGACCAGATTTATTTACCTATAAGTCCTGCTTATTTTTTCACCTCTCAATATCCCCAAAATACCCTTCATACACCTCCTTTAACAACTCAATCATCAAATCACTGCCATGACCTACCACCTCTCACTTATAGCTATCAACGAGTACTTCCAACCGCTGGTGATAACCTCCGGCAACTTCTAACGATCGCCTTTGGCAACCTCCGATGCTCACTACTGTCACTATCTCCTAAGACCTTATGGCGATAGGAGAAGAAGAAGAAGAAAAAGAAGAAGAAGAATGTATGTGTATGTGTGTGTGTGTGTATGTGTGTGTGTGTGTGTGTGTGTGAGAGAGAGAGAGAGAGAGAGAGAGAGAAGATGAAGAGGAAAAGGAAAAGGAAATGCCTTAGTAGAAAATTGTTAGCCTTCGTGTTGTAGATCAGTGTGGGAGCTAGAAAAAAATAAATGCTAGCTTATTGGGCGGTAGTATATATTTTTTTCTGACTCCCACAATTGCCCCAAAACTTTCATTGTTTATGGTAGAAGGAATAAGAGTTTTTATTGCCGAGTTATATTGTTCAAATAGATGTTAGGTTTCTTGATAAAGAACACTTTGGATAAATGAATAAAATTAAGTGAATGAATGATTGTATGAATGCATGTATGCTTGAATGTATGTGCAAATATATAGGCTAAAGAGTTGAAATGAATGATATCTATCATAATATTATATCACATGAGTTTCAAACAAATCATATCATAAGCAATTACTTGTCATATCAAAGTTCACAAAGTATATACATATGTGGTACATCCAATAGTGCACGATGGGACCATATACATCTAATCATAGGGACTCCTTATGTCTATATCAGAGATCTCTATAATGATGGGCCACAGTATTATAACCCTCGGGCGAGGGTGTAGGCCGTGGTATTGTAACCCCCAGTAAAGGATGTAGGCCACAGTATCATAACCCCCAGGCAAGGGTATAGGTCGCGGTATTATAACCTCCAACCGAGGGTGTAGTGTATTGCTGAGTGCGAAGATTGCAAGGCTAATAAATCGTGCCAATCATTTCCTGTACCAAATAATGTAGATATATCAGCCACAAAAAGTGGAAAGCTGTAAAAGCTAAAAAAATGACAGCATGCAAAAATATGCAAAAAACTGCCGAATGTGTAGTATGAGTGTATTGGCCCAAAACTGTCGCTTGCTTGGAGTTGTGTGAAAAGGAGCGGGATTTTGTAACTCAAGTAATTGTCTTTGTAATGCATGTACCAAGTTGGCCCAATATGCATACATAGCAAAGGTGCTGAGATGATAAACGGCTAATATGCCCCAAGTGGAAAGCGAAAAATTGACTAAGATGTCCCTGTTGGCAATAAATGGCCAAGGTAATTAAATAAATGATCGGGAAGGACGAAGGATTTTTTCTTAGCCCCACGATCCTGCTGCTAAAATTGCATGCCGATCGGATATGATGTGACCGTTGAGCAATCTTGTAACTCCCGTATGTTCCAGGGCATTGATCCCAATATTAGGCGCGAAATTTGTAGAATTGGACTCCAATGTGATTTCAAAATTGTTGTTGATACTCGGCCGACTGGATTATTAGGGGAAACGGGAAATATGTTGAGTACTCAGGAGTTGATCTGTGAATGCGAACGCTGCCAAGTTCGCGAATCAACAAAATTGAGTTGGGTTGCTTAGGAATGGACGACATAAAGTTTGACCAAGACAATGGGTTGCTGAGAACAGTAGTGACCCAGTTGTAGGTGTAAGAATGACGCATAGGTTTTGCGCAGTAGGTTTTGACGCGGCTAAATGGAGATTGAACTGACAAGTTGCCGAATTGAAAGCGCCGAGTGAATGTAAGAGTTGTTCAGTGAGTTCTGCGATGAGCGCTAAGTCGATTAAATTGTACCATCACCCTATTGAACTATCATGGAATTAGTTGTAAAATTGCTTCCATTGTCATGAACATGTAACATTAGATAGCCATTGCCTCATTGCTATCGAATGACAGTTGTTATTCAGAAGGAATTCATCCTTTGGTGACGAATGAGTTGGGCTGGGAGATAGGCATTGTGCAAACTCCAGGTACGGTGGCAAAAATGTTGTTTTGGCTGCGATATGTGGCATTGCATATAAAATCTACAAATTTTGGGTATGGAATTTGCAAAATCAGACCGTACGGATGTGTTCAGAAGGTTCCAAATAGTTGGAAATGACTATTGGATCGTTAGAATCGGACTCTTGATAGCGTAATTTTAGCCAAAATAGATCTGACAACTCAAATCGATGAAGAAGTAGGCTCCGCAAAGCACTGGATATTTTCTTTGACATATGCTGCATTGGATGAGTCAAGATCCTCTCATTACCCTCTCTCTTTGTCTCCTTACTTGCTAGGCTATTGGGCCCACTTTTGGGCCCAATTTCGATGATCTGAACTGTTTATATTTTAAGATTTGTTGAGTATATCATACCGGTAAAAAATCAAGTTGATCAGATATCAGAAACTATGTGTTCGGATCATCGAACTAAAAACCATTTTTTTTAAAAATTTAATAAACAGTTTCCCGAACACATGCTTTCTGATATTCGATCAATTTGATTTTTTACAAGTATGATATACTCAACAAATCTTATATGTGAACGGTTCGGATTATCAAAATTAGGCCCAAAAGTGGGCCCAATAGCCTAACAAGTAGGGAGTCAAGTAGAGAAGTCAATGAGAGGATCCTAATTCGCATTGGATGGCTCAGCCTGATGGCTTGGCAAAAAATAGAAGTAAAGTTGATAGCTTGGCAAAAAATATAAGTAAAGTTGTTGCCTACAGGATTTGAACTCATACCCTTGTGAAAAAAATTTAATACTTAACCACTTTGCCATCTCAAATCTTTGTGAATATATTTTGTATATTATATATTTGAACTTGATTGTTCAGCTATGACAGGAGGTAACTTAGCCGCAATGCACACAATAATTTCTTAAGTTGGCCAACTCCAAATCCAGTCATCTTCTCCGGCGGAATAATGACATTGCTCGGAAAACTTCGACGAGCTCGTACGGCTTCGTTTTAGCTCCAATTTCGACGTGGTTTGTTGTGTTGGACTCGGCTTAATGAGTACTTCATATTGGTATGGCCAAAACTTGATTTCGACAACTTTAAAAATTTTAGTTTTCTAAAAATTTGGTCCATTTTGTAACTACTGGCAAACTTTGGTTACTTCTTGGCTCCTCGGCTTGTTGGGTTTAAACTCCTTGAGTTGACACCAATCCTCTAGTATTTTCAAATGTGGATTTTCAGCAAGCCGAGATGCTAGTTCTATGCCGAGATAATAGTGCCAAGCAATAGTACTGCTAGAATTAAATCATGAGAGTCGTGCCGAAGAGGTAGATTAATTAATATGTGTGGCAGAGTGTGGACGTGCCCCGAGGGCTTTATGTTACCACAGTTCGGACTCAAATGTCACGGTTCTTAATCTGATCTCGCAATGTGCAATGCAAGACTGATAAATCACCAAAGAGTCCAAATCCGGCAAATCGTTTTGGAGAATAGATTTTTAAGAAAGAAGTGCCAAACATGGACTGCTATGCCAGATACAGAGTCGCCACCTAAATATTTACTTTGGGGGAATTTAGGAAACCCTGACTCGTTGCCGAAGGCCACGTGTCCGTCATCACCAAAGTTGCCTCGGTTCGGGAACTTGGGTACGATTTGGGAAGGTCAGCTATAAGCACCGCCGCTCGCCTGATCAAAGATCGGCCTCTACTAACCATGA